TTTATCTCAGACTTGGGAATGGGCTGCGAAGCGCTTTAATGATAGCCAGCACATCGACGACCCTTCTATCCGGGAGGTGACCCTCCGCTCGATGATGGGAGAGTTTGGTGGTAATGCCGGTCTCCTTTCGGCATGGTTCGATGAGGTCGCTGGTGAGTGGAGCTATGAGATCACTATGTGTCCAGCTGGCGTTCAGCATATCTGGTGGGCGGTTCATATCCTCGTGCTAGTGACGCTGGGTGTGGCTCTGCTTTGGTTCCTATCTGGCGGTGTTCAGGACAAGACGGCTATTCGAAAAGTCCAATCAAACCAGAAGGCTCAGGATGGACAGAAGAAATAAACGGGTTGTAGATTTGTTTCTATTGTATTAATGACATTGGATAAACTAAGCAGGTTGTATTTTGATACATATATTTTGATACATGATTGATATATATTTTCACAACGGACCGCCAAGCAAATATGAACTTTTATGACGTGACCATTGTTGAAGTTGTGTCTCGTACAGTTGTGTAGAGATTAAATACATTTACGCAGTCTACTTAGGGTCTACATAGGTAGAGCCATTGGTGGTCATATCAGAGTTCATATATCGGCCAAAGAACAAATAACCAGGACCAAGTCCCCTCCCATACAGCCTAAAACCTTTAGGCCAGCCCTCAAGGTAACGGGCAAGGCAGTGCAAAAGGATGTGATTTTAAAGTAATACTTCCGAGAGTCGCCAGTAAAGGGAGGGAGAAACACGAAGATGGAGGATAAAACCGGCTTTAAAATAAACAGTTGGATTTCGTCAAATGGACACCACCTGTCCAGCTCCCATTTTAATCCTATGGTCTCATATGCACCGCATTCCAGGTCCCAAGCAGATTTGAGGTTTGGTATCGTTCTTTTTCTTTAAAATTCGGGTTTTCTCTCTTTACATGACGACACCGGAGTTGGAGGCAATACGCTGGAAGAGAAACGTTAGTGTATTGGGTCGGAGAGGGGGAAAACATGGAAATGAATCCATTTCCATGTGGAGTGTATAACGTACGGGCCAGAGCTCAGCAGCTTCCTTTCCGACGGGACCGGTGATGGCGGAACCCTTCATCTCACCCTTGGCGTTGACGATAACTCCTGCGTTGTCCTCGAAGTACAGGAAGATACCGTCGGGGCGGCGCCAGGGCTTGCTCTGGCGGACAACGACAGCGGGCATAACCTTCTTGCGGAGCTCGGGCTTTCCCTTCTTGACGGTGGCCATGACCATGTCTCCGACACCGGCAGCGGGGAGACGGTTCAGGCGGGCACCGATACCCTTGACGGAGATGATGTACAGGTTGCGAGCACCGGAGTTGTCGCAGCAGTTCATCACGGCGCCACTGTTTGACGAAAAAGGGACCCGTTAGTGAATTTGTTCTAGATCTTGAAGACGTCGTGTTTCGAATGCTGAAAGTGGAGATCCAATTTTCTTTTCCTTTCTTCCCGCCGGTCTTTTCGTTTTGTTGCATGGGCGTATGTTTTTCTGAGGGCGTTTGGTCGAGTGGAAAATAGCTTGTGGCATCCGGCGGGGAAGAAAGGCGCATTCGAAACAGACTAGACGATAAGAAATTTGTAGACGTACACAGGCAGACCGAGAGTCATCTTGAGCTTGTTGCCGGCGGCACCGCCACGACTGTTCAATCGTTAGTAAATTCGTTCTTGTCGATTCGTTCTTTTCTCAAATCTGAGCCCCATTCTATCCTCTCGACACAAATGTGCTGTTGCTTGTCCATGCTTGCAAAATAATTCTGTATCGGCTCGGAATCGAATGGGGCCACAGGGGGAATCGTTGGGAGACTCACCCTCTCTTAGACATGATGGCTGATGATCACGGGGGAAGTTGGGTGAAAAAGGTTGGCGACAAGAGGTCGAACGTCGAGGATCCAAACTGGAGGTGTGCTTTCTCGCTTAGTGGGCAAAGTGCGTAAAATCTTGGCGTTGGCTGGTGATTGGCTGCCCAGATCCATCAACTTTGCCCTAATGCTAGCCTCATTTGGCATAGTACCAAACTATGATGCCTTAGGCATCACTCATATACTTCTAGGGTTCAAAGTTGTAACGTTTTGGAAGACTGAATTTCACTGAATAATACATTTGCAACCGTAAAGAAAAGCTATGCAAAAAGAAAAGCAGATACAACAGGGATGAAGATAAAATATGAAATGATTTATTGAAAGTCCATAAAAGCAATCCGCCATCCCCCGAAACATTTCAAGGTTAAACCTCGATTTGAGTCTGCTATTCCGCCACGAGTAATGCCCTCCTGGTGTCAAGCAAGATGCGAGCACGCTGTTAAACCGATAACACCTTTCTGCCATTGTCCGTTGCGCCAGATCCGATATTGTCGTCTTTGCATCACAGCTACTCCTCTTTCTTAGGCTCTGTCATGTGTTCGGGGTTCTCTGCCTTGGTCACCGTTGCCTCGGTGTCCGCAGTAGGAGCAGGAGCTTCTGCACTCTTCTCGGCGGTAGAATCGGCAGCCTCTTTCGGGAGGGACTGAGCCCGCACAGGGGAGGCGGTGGAGCCTTCGACCAGGGGTTTCTCCTCAATAATTGGCGCTGGAGCCGGAGGCTGTTCCGATGTAGTAGGCTCAGGGACAGCAGCGTCTTCCATGGTAGTATCTTCATCATGAGGAGGAGACTGATGCTGAGAAGTAGTAGAGGCTCCCTGTTCCTCGCTTTCCATGGCCATGTTATCGGCATCAGTCATGGGGGTTTCATCAGCGCGCGAGGGTTCTGGGGCGGCAAAAGGCGCCTCGGGTTCAGTGCGTGGGGCATCGCCCATATTAGCGTCAGGGGCAAAATCCATTTCTCCATCAGCCGCAGATGAGCCATCTTGCGGGGTTGCCATGCCACTATCCAGCCCAGAGTCCGGCTCGAGGTTTCGGTAGTTGACTTGATTGCGACGGCGTGAGGCGCCTGGTTGGCGACGAACACCGTTGGCGGCGTTCTCGTCTTCATCCTCGCTATCACTGAGCTCGCCAGCCTTTTCGGTGCGTTGGTCGAATCGTCGTTGTGTGAACCGTTTGTCTTTGTTCTCATCCTCATCGAGGTCATCCATAACGTCATCAGCCTCGTCGTCCATGCCATCCAAGATGGGGTTTCGTGGCACATCCGTCATTTGGACCGAAGGAGCAAATGCCGTGCGCTTGAGATTTTCGACAACCTGGTTGCGGATCTTGTCCAGGTATTCTCTGGTATTGGCGTTATCCATGTTGGAGGGGCGGACATCAAGCTGATAATCAGGAGCGAAGTACTAATGCAGTTAGTATGAGTTAGTCTGGAAGAAACGGGAATCTTACCTCATAGTAGTCGTTGTATGGCAGCTCTGATCCTAGGGGCTCTCCGACAAGGATGCCGGTCTCATAAGCCCATGTTCGTGCGACATTGCGCATGGTGTAGCCACCACCGCCAAGAACCAAGGTTGGCAGATCAAAGCTCTTAACGAAATTAACACAGTTGGCGTGTCCTCGCATACTCAGGTTGAAGCAGCCTAGGCGATCACCAGATAGACTGTCACCACCGCACTGAAGGACCACGGCCTCGGGGCGGTACCACTCCATCACGCTCTTAATAACAGGCTCAAAGATGCTCTTGTATGTGACATCAGTGATACCATCCCGAAGAGGAAAGTTAACTGCGTAGTTTTTACCCTGCCCAACACCGATGTCGCGAAGCTCACCGGTACCGGGGAAGTATTCGCCGTACTTGTGGAAAGAACAGGTCATGACGCGATCAGTCGTGTAGAAAGCCTCTTCGACACCGTCGCCGTGATGAACGTCAATATCGACGTAAAGAACGCGTTGTTTGAAGCGCAGAAGCTCCAGAATTCCGAGAACAATATCTTCATGGATGTTAGATTCTGAGATAGACATTTGAGGATCGAAGCGCCATACCATTGACATAACAGAAGCCACTTGCTTCGCTCTTCTTGGCATGGTGAAGACCACCAGCCCAGTTGACGGCAACATCGCATTTATTGCGGTTCAGTCGTGCGGCGCCTTCCATGCTGCCACCAGCACTGATTCCGCAGAACTCGAAGAGACCGTCAAACACGGGGCAATCGTCTCCAACATTGTACCGGCTCTGTTCCTTTGAGAAGTGGTCCATGTTGTCGGGTGTGACCTTGGACAGGAAGTCGATATATTCGTCGGTATGGAACTGGGTCATTTCGTACTTTGAGGCAGGTTTCGCACGCTGATTTGTTAGTGTAAGGGTCAAACAGGAGAAAAAAAAGGCAGTAGAACGCTCACGTAGATCTCCATTTTTTTATAGAGGCCATAGTTCATCACCAAGCTGTGTGTCATGCGTATGCGATGAGGCTTCATGGGGTGGCCGGAGACATAGGCATAGTTGCCCACATCGGAGTCGTAGAAGTAAGCGACTTTCTTATTCTTAGACCCGAGGAGCCTATCTGAGATAGGTTCCAAAGCCATATTGCAGAGAACGACTGAGGGGTCACGAGGTTGAGAGGGGAAAAAAGGTGAAGTTCAAGAAGTGTAAGTGAGATCCGGGGAATGATGAAGTAGCGTAGTTGCAGGCGCAATGCAGATATACTCCCAGGGGGGTAAATAGGCAGCGATGGCACCTATTGTCACCAGATCCCGCAATGCGAAGATTCGGTAGTAGAACTTAATCACAATAGCAAGCCAATGTCATTGTTCAGGCTGTATTGAAGAATAGATTGAGGAGAGAGAATCGCCCGCGAAGGAGCGGAAGCCGACCGAACCACACACCGCCTTCGTCAGGCAAAGCTCCCACGGCTTTGCTCATCATCACTCAACACGTCTTCGACAACCTTGTTATCTTCTCCCTAATATCACATCTGTTGGGGTTTTTTGCTATATCGTATCTTTCTTTGAACACTTTTTCGGCGATACCAAGCTACTAGAGACAAATCGATTTGCCCCAGAGCTTCCAAATAGCGATAGCTTCGCCCTCTCTACTCTCGTTTCATCAACTCTTTTCGGATATCTCTTAACTATGGATCGTCTTAACCGGATGCTCCAGGCCGCTCAAGGCATGGGGATGGGAGGCGCTGCTCCCGGTGGTGTAAGTTGGATAAGACCTCTAATCTCCTTGTTGAGGGGGCATTAATGGCAACACCCTAGCCTAGCTTCACCATGTTTATCTACATTGACTAATGAGAGCCGTTGTTTAGGATACTCCAAACTTGATTGATAACTCTGAAACCGTCCACATCTCCTCCTTGGCTCTGCTGAAGATGCTACGACATGGACGCGCGGGTGTCCCGATGGAGGTCATGGGCCTCATGCTGGGCGAGTTCGTTGATGAATACACAGTTCGGGTAGTGGACGTCTTTGCTATGCCCCAGAGCGGTACAGGTGTCAGTGTTGAGGCAGTGGATCCCGTGTTCCAAACTAGAATGATGGAAATGCTCCGCCAGACGGGACGGTAAGCCTATCAGCTGATATATAATCGAGGACTCCCCCATGCTGATAGTTTCGTACAGACCAGAAACTGTTGTTGGCTGGTACCATTCGCATCCTGGTTTCGGCTGCTGGCTCTCCTCGGTCGATATCAACACTCAGCAATCCTTCGAGCAGCTCACACCGCGTGCGGTTGCCGTTGTCGTCGATCCTATCCAGTCAGTGAAGGGCAAGGTCGTCATTGATGCCTTCCGTCTCATCCAACCTCAGACGGTGGTCATGGGTCAGGAGCCCCGCCAGACTACATCAAACTTGGGTCACCTCAACAAGCCTTCGATCCAGGCTCTGATTCACGGCCTCAACCGCCACTATTACAGCATTGCGATTGATTACCGCAAGACGGGATTGGAAGAGAACATGTTGATGAACCTTCACAAGCATGTATGGACCGAGGCCTTGGAGATGAGTGACTTCCACGAGGAGGGTAAGCACAATGTGGACCGCATGAAGCAGCTTGTTCTTCTTGCAGAGGGCTACGAGAAGCGGATCAAGGAAGAGACGGAGTTGAGCAAGGATCAGCTGAAGACGAGATACGTTGGCAAGGTTGATCCCAAGAAGCGTATGTTTTTTCCTTTCTTGTAATAATAACCACAAAGAACAGCAACTGACGCTTTACAGACATCGAGGACGTAAGTCAACAGTTGATTGAGGATAACATTGTTGCCGTCTCGCGGCAGATGATTGACAAGGAAGCTTCCGTGGCACGGCAATCATCCAAAGAAGACACGAATGGTGCTGTCATGGAAGTTGATGAAGACCTCTAAAGAGTTAGAAAAGTGTGCCAATCAAACCGCTTTAATTATTTCTGATTGGTTGGGCTTTATGTTACCAAACCAGACCAACAGATGAATGAAATCTACTCAAATTTTCACATAAAAATAATAAAATTCATTGTCAACACGAATGGCGTTTGGCCTGTTGTTGGAAGTAAATGCGTGTCTATAAGTCTATTTCGTGTCATTTATGCGCCGCGCAATGTATATAAATCGTAACAATATGAAATATCCACCGATCAATGGACTATCACGACTCCAACTTGACTGTCTGAAGCGAGTTGCTCAAGGCTTCGACAACGTCAGGGGAGTAGGCCCGTAGCCCATCAAAGGCAGCATCCACGTCATTGATGTCGTGTTTCTCGTGAATGTCGTCTTGAGTGTCGGTCCAGCCTCTATCAGGGCCCCAAAGGACCTTTTTCTGAGCATCCCGGGTTTCCGTAAGCAAACGAGTCATCAAATGTCCATTCTTCTCTACAGAGGGCCAGGCATCGAATTCGACCTGAACTAAATCCGGTAACCGTTCCAAGATTTGATGTAACAATTTGCCACAGAAGTTGGTATAGTAATCCTTGGAGATACGAAAGCCCTCAAACACAGGGTGTGAAGGGTCACACTGCACAAACACTTTCAACGTGCGCACAAGCTCCATGTCGTGTAATCCCAATCCCTGGTTTACAACCCATGACTTTGGGGGTGCGGTCCAACTTGATCCCACGATCAATTCAATTGTGGTGATCGAAGAGCGGTGGCGGCGAGGCAAAGCCCGGATAGTGGGCATGCGCAAGAAGTCCTGAATGGGGAACACACGGAATGTCTGGGTTGAATAGAAGTAGTGAGTGGCTTCGTCGTGGATTTGTCTCGAGACAAGGAAGAGGGCGATGCGATGCGAGGATGGTGCTAGAGGTTTGCTCTTCTTTGCCGAAGAACCAACACTGCCACCAGTGCGCTTCAATGCACTCTTCCGAGTTGGCGTGAACAGGACATAATGATAAATGTGCAGGCGGATCTCGGACGGTAGATGGAGGAAAGGGAATCGCAGTAAGATCGGAGGTTCAGCCTCTGGTTCAGAGTCGACATCGGAGAGTTGCTCCTCAAAATGGATCATCTTCTTTTTGAAGCCCATGATTGCGAAATATGCAAATGAATTCTATGAGATACGAGCAAGTCTAGATTTGGACAAAAAGATCATATTTCTGGTAATCAGGTAAAAGAGAGAAAAAAAAAGAAAACTAAAAAGATTTGTGTCCCACGATCGGAGCGCAGCTTCACGGGAAAAACCTTTGCTGCGCTCTTGGTAGTGGGAATGAAGAAGATCTTCGTTGGTCTCCCCAGCTAATACAACCCGGCATGCAGAGAGAAATAGCTTGATAGGTCAAATTAATGTCTGGGTGAACTTTCTGAAGAAGAAAAGAAAAAAGAGAGAAGACTTGATGGGCGTGGGGGTGGATATATAAACAAAGTGCACGGATGGTTCGGATCCTCCGCCGTACCGAGTCGCGCCGACTTTTAACGGGAGACTGTGGTTTATCCCATCATTCAGGACATACCTAGGTATTTGTTTCAACCCAATACACAATGCTTAGTCGTGCAGTCTTGCCTCTAACGAGGCCAAATGTCTTCGCCTCTGCCGTTCGGGCATCAACCCTGTCGGCGCGGCCCTCGCCGTACACTGCTTACAAGCTTTCCCCGGCCATCCAGCTAAGGGCGAAGTCGAACAAATCGAAGTCGAATACTCCCAAAGCAACTTCAAAAGAATTCGCTGCAGAGCAACCTGAGTTTGATACGAAAGCTGAATCTACACAACCTTCCGAATCTGTGAGAATTTCCTGATATTTGACGGAAATGAATCATCTCTGACGTTGTCTTTCTAGGTCGAACAAGAACAAGCCCCACAGACACCTCTCCCCGATCTGACACAAGGTATTCCATCGACGCTGGCCGCAGAATTGGAAGGGCGTATGAAGAAGGGACCACTGAACCTCACAGAAGACCCTACTCAGTCAGAAGAGTATGGTGCGGAAGGCAGAGGTGGTGGTGACATCCCCAAGGGCGGATATGAGACATCTATCGACCGCCGCAAGGCTCGCATGGCCAATATATTATATGCTGCCATGTTGCTTGCTGGTGTTGCCGGTATGGGTTACCTGGGTCGCAACTGGGAAACCGAAGAGGAGGCGAGCCAACACCCTGAGATCCCATCTGGATGGAGTCCGGGTCTTTGGTACAGCCGTATCAAGGCTCGCACCAGCGATCTCACCAGCTACTACAAGGACCCTGCTTTCCCCAAGCTGCTTCCGGATGAGGACGCCGAGATGCGTCAGCCTTACACCCTGGTGCTCAGTCTTGAGGATCTTCTTGTTCACAGCGAATGGACCCGTGAGCACGGATGGCGTGTTGCCAAGCGACCTGGTGTCGACTACTTCCTCCGCTACCTGAACCAATACTACGAGCTCGTCCTGTTCACCAGTGTGCCTAGTATGATGGCCGACCAAGTCCTACGCAAACTCGACCCCTACCGCATTATCCGCTGGCCCTTGTTCCGCGAGGCGACCCGATACAAGGATGGAGAGTACATCAAGGTATGCCAACTTCTGTCTCTTTTTTTTTTTTTTCCTCCAAGTCATCAAATGCTAATTGTCTTGTAGGATTTGCAATATCTCAACCGTGACCTTTCCAAGGTTATCCTCATCGACACCAAGGAGGAGCACGCCCGCTACCAGCCCGAGAACGCCATTGTTCTGGACAAGTGGACCGGAGACCCGAAAGATAAGACGCTGGTCGCCCTCATCCCCTTCCTGGAATACCTCGCTGGTATGGGTGTTGAAGATGTGCGCACTGTGCTGAAGTCGTTTGATGGTACTCCCATCCCCGTCGAGTTTGCCAAGCGTGAGAAGGCCATGCGTGAGCGCTTCGAGAAGGATCTTGCCGAGGAGCAGAAGAAGAGGCCCTCGCGTGGTCTGGGCAACTTTGCTGCCGCACTTGGCTTGAAGTCTTCTGCCACCCTGAACGGCGAGCAGACACCCTCCGAGGGTCTGGCTCAAGGCAAGATGCTTTGGGATCAAATCCGCGAGCGTGGTCAAAAGAACTACGAGATGATCGAGTCGGAGATCCGCGCGAACGGCGAGAAGTGGCTCGCTGAGATGGCAGCCGAGGAGGAGAAGGCCCGCCAGGAGCAGATGCAGAGCATGAAGGGCTCTTTCACTGGCATTTTTGGTGTTGGCTCCAAGGACCAGTAATCGGCGCGAGCTAATTCCCTTTTTTTCCGTGTCTAGCACATCATGAGGGGTTCGTTCTGAGCATTAATGAACGAGTGTAAATTAGGGTTTGGGGTTTGTTTGATTTTTTTTTGTACAAAATTTTAGTCAGAAATTTTAATATGATAAAGACTGAGATTGAATTGATATCAAGGTCGTTGGGCTTTAGGATCCCAGGGTATATTGTTGAAATAAGAATCTAGAAGTATGTTCAATGATCTTCCTGATCATGTCAGGTTCACATCTTGGAAGACGGAGACATCCCATATTCCTGTCATGTCAAAGGGGAAACCATCCATCGTTCCAAAAGTATTAGATATCGACATCATGTCATCCACAATATCGTTGTTTGTTTGAGTCTCGGGCAGTGATATCGCAGCCGGGTTGACAAGCCCGCTGTCTGCCATCGTAGTTGTGAATGCCTGGTCCATTGTGTCACCGGTTCCGGGAAGTCGGTGCATAATGCGTTCGCAGTGGTCCAGACACATGTCTGCTACATCCCAGTCTTCTTCTTCCCGTACACGACGCAACACAGAGCGTAGGGTTTCGACGTTCGATAGACATGATCGTGCAACTTCGCTGTCGGTGGTTTCGAATGCACATCGAACCAGCAATGTCGCCGTCGAGGTGAGATGAAAGGCGCTATCTGTCAAAAAATTAGGACAAAAGAAAAAGGCGTGATCTGAGAAAATGCTTCAACCTACATGGTAGCCAGAACTCTACAAAATTATCCTTTCGCAAGGACGTCATAAATCCGACAATCTCCTCTGCTGACTTTCTGCATTCCGTTTGGAAATAGCGACGTGCCTCCGTGTTTTCTGTTTCAGAGTTGTTGACTTCCTGTAAGGTTGTTAGAGATAACTCCTTTCGGTATTCCCACATTTGGCTTACATTTAGTTCAACTCGGCTGACAAGCATTTTGACAGCTAAGAAAGCTAGTTGCAAGCTGCTTGCTCCGTAGATTCGTTCTCCAGAGTGAATGGTGGGTCCTCGCAACCAGTCTGGCAGGGAGTCTTCCCATATATCTAGATCCGTTCGTATTTGTCTGAGCTTCTTGGATGTCTCGCGGGCGGGTTTGTGTTGAAGCCCATAGACCAGTGGTAACAGCTCGCCCAAAGTCTCGGTCAATCGGCATAGGTAGATGTGGCAGTGTGCTGCTCTCACACGTTCTGTAGTGCGAAGGTGTGATGGGACTAATACGTCCACAGTGGGTAGAGGCACGTCGTATTGATTTTTCGAAATCTGAGGCGGGACACCATGACCAAAGCTTCCCCTATTTATTGTTAGGTCTATTGCAAGCAAAACGAAAGATAGAACAATCTTACCAACGGTCATGAATGACAACTCCCCACCACAGACGAATACGCTGGTTCTTTTCTGCTTGTGAGAGCTTCCAATTGCTAGGATCACGATTGAGACCAAGACAATTTGCCAAAGATAACATGCGGCCACAGCTAACGGCGTTGCCAGTCATGGAGAAAATGGGTCGCCCAGTCAAGTCGATAAGCGCGGCGCTGATTGTGTCCAATCCAGGAGCTGAGAATTCCTCGTGCAATGCGGCGACGGTCATGTTGATCGCATATCGAACGTCGGGCTTCGGGTGACACGCAAGCTTTTGTGTGTGCTTCCAATATACGAGGGACATGGAATAGACCTGACACACTAATGCAGCTGGTGGGTCGTGCAGGTCATCGGCGATGTATGATTCCCAAAACGATTCCCCGTCGAAGATCG